AGAATCATTGATCAGCTGCCTCCTACATGCCCCCCCTCTGGGGATCAAGCTCGCAACCTGGGCCTGTGGCCTGACTAGGAATAGAACTGTCACCTCCTGATTCACAGGTTGATTCTGAACCACTGAGCCACACCAGCTGGGCTGGACAAGCCACATTTTAATAGCCACACATGACTAGTGGCAACTGTATTGGACAATATTAAGTCTTCAGGCTGAGGGTATATCTATAAAGATAGTTTGGGGCAAGAAGAAAAAAAAATAATATTTACTTCAGCATAGAGTTTGTTTCTTGATATGCATTATTTCATTTAATGTTCACAGCAACCTTATGGACAGGTATGGGTGAGGTTTCATCGCTAAGACACAGAGAGGGTAAGCAATTCACCCATGTATGTTCACACGGCTAGGGAGTGGCAGAGTCTGGATTTTGGATCCAAATTTGTTTGTTCCTAAAACCCAGGTTTGCTCTGCAGCATTAAGAAGATAATTAAGGGTTCCAAGAAATTAGAATGTGCATGATGAAAAGGCGGCGGTGAGGGCATCAGAAGGGCCTGTGTATCCGAATCATAAGAGTAATCAGGGCATGTCTGTGAACACACTCAGGGTGATCTCAGGTGGTTCTGAGGAGAGCAGTTTTGGTCTAAAGTCGGGCACACAACTGTGGCCCAGGGCAAAGAAAGATTCTCTCTCCAGAGAAAAAGAGAAATAAGAGAAAAATGGAATAGCCTGAGAATGATAGATGGGTAGTCAGAGTAGGAAAGAAAGTTGACTATTAAGGTTGGAACTAAATTAAAATTCCTGGGAAATTCTTCAACCTGAAAATTATTATAATAAATAACCCAAAAGAGATGAAGGGGGATCCATAGATTAAAAGAGTCTTAAAGACAAGTCAACCAATAGCAATGTATGGACCTTATTTGGATCCTGATTCAAACAAACAACTGTAAATAAAAATATGGCATTAATGAGATCATTGAAAATTTGATTACTAACTGGATATTTGAAGATATTAAGGCATTATTAATTTTAAGATACAACAATGGTTAAAAAAAGAGCCCTTATCTTTGAAGATACATACTGGAATATGTATAAACTAGAGGCCTGGTGCACAACATTCGTGCACTGTGGGGGTGGGGAGAATCACTGATCAGCTGCCTCCTACATGCCCCCCAACTGGGGATCAAGCCTGTGCCTTCTTGCAGTCTGGGACCCCTTGAGGGATGTCCAACTGCCGGCTTAGGCCCACTCACGTGGACATCCCCCAAGGGGTCCTTAGCACTGCTGCCGCTGCACTCACCAGTCATGATCCCAGCTTCTGGCTGAGCAGTGCTTCCCGTGGGAGCGCACTGACCACCAGGGGGCAGCTCCTGCATTGAGTATCTGCTCCCTGGGGGTCAGTGCATGTCATAGCGACCAGTCATTCTGCTGTTCGGTCGATTTGCATATTAGGGTTTTATTATATAGGATGAAATGCTATGATGTCTGGGATTTTCTTTAAAATACTACTATTGAAATAAACCTCCACCAACCAGACTGAGAATATGAGAGCAGTGCTGGTGTGGTCAGAATGGCGAGTCCACTGGGCTCCCTTCTAATGGGGCAAGAGGCAGTGCAAGAAACAGGAGGAGGGGAAGGCTACTGGCATTGGCAAAGGAATAAAAACCCCACTATTCATCTGGGGACAGTGACAATTGACCCATAGGAGAAACTGATGGAATCTCGCCCAGGAACCTTTTATAAGGATCCGTGCTGAGAGCAGCTGTTACCCAAAGTGGGCTCCATTTGCCTCCCCTTTCACATTACATTATTTGTGAATCCCTTTTTGCAAGGCAATATTGCCTCTGGCGCAGGCTGCATTTACTAAATGTTCTGAATTGGTGATGTCTAAATGAATGTTTTTTCATGGTTAGTTGTTTTTCCCATCCTATCAGACCCATGTGTTCCCAGAAAACACTGTATGCTGACAGACGACTGTTCCCCAACATATGCTGAGCATCCTATCCTCAGTCCTGTTGAAGGCACTGGGAAGTGGATCTGGGAAGGTGGTCCAAGATCACGGCTGGACAAGAAACAGCTGACGGCCAGCTTGCTGGTTACCTCTGCAGAATGCATGGAGTAGTTGGGTGGCAGCTTTTCCAAGGCAACTGGGAGACAGTAGGATCCAGTTTGAAGACGTTCATTTAAGAGAATTGGCAGCCACTGAAATAGATGATGTAGAGAATAAAGTGGAATTTATTACTACATATAACTCTGGCAATTTATCTAGCTCACAATAATCAAATGCAACTAAACGATGATTAGATATTGACCAGGACTCTTTTTGGCAGTAATTTCTGTCAAGTTCTTTGCATTTTAAATTCTGTGAGAGCTCCTGAGGTGGTAATATCAATGATTTACTGCTTTCAGAGCCAAAGTAGTAGCATTTTTCTTTAAAGCTAATGTTTGTGTGTCTCTGAACAACATCAATGCTTATGTTAACTTTTATATTTTTTAAAGAAACAACTTTTTTCTCCTTGGAGAAAAAAAGAGCTAGTTTTATTCCAGGTGGAGCAAAAGTAGGTTTACAGTCATGAGTGTGCGAACCAGAGTTTATTTTTGTATTATTACTTATTAATTATTGTATAATTTTCCATATGAACAACTGTAAACCTATTTTTGCCCACACTCCATGTAAAGCATATATATAAAATTTAGAAATAATAGATATTGCAATGCTTTAAAATGTTTTTACTTACTATTGTTTATTCTAAATGCATGGTAAACAAGTATACAGTCATAATATATATATATATTTCCCAATGATACATTTTTGTATTAAAATACCCTCTGTAATTTAAAAAATAATAATATCTTCAAATAATATATTTAGAGACATACAAAATTGCAAATGGATACTAAAACTATAAATACAACAATACAACATACCCAGTACTTCAATGGCCAATTTTAACAGATTTTGTAGAGACATACAAAACTTGCAAACGGATACTAAAACTATAAATACAACATACCCAGTACTTCAATGGCCAATTTTAACAGAGTTTGAAATATCACTGAATAGGTTTTATTTCTTTAACTTAAAATTTTTTTAATATAAATCATTTTTTATTTTTCAATTTCAGTTTTCATACAATATTATCTTAGATCCAGTGTACACCCCAGTGATTAGATATTATATAACTTATTAAAAGATCATCCTGATAAATCTCATACCCATCTGACATCATGCATAGTTATTAGAATATTATTGACTATATTCCATATGCTTTCCTTTACATCTCATGACTATTTTGTAACAACCAATTTGTACTTCTTAATCCCTTCATTTTTTTCACCCATTTCCCTACCTACCTCCCATCTGTCAACTATCAAAATGTTCTCTGTATCTATGAGCCTGTTTCTGTTCTACTTCTTCTTTTATTTTGTTTTTAGATTCAATTGTTGATAGATATGTATTTATTGCCATTTTAATATTCATATTTTTATCTTTTTCTTCTTTAAAAAAAAAACCCTTCACATTTCATGTTATACTGGTTTGGCGATGATGAACTCCTTTAGCTTTTTCTTGTCTGAGAAGCTTTATCTGTCCTTTGATTCTAAATGATAGCTTTGCTGGGTAGAGTAATCTTGGCTGTAGGTCCTTGCTTTTCATCACTTTGACTATTTCTGGCCTGCAAAGTTTCTATTGAGAAATCAGCAGTTTTATGGGAGCTCCCTTGTAGGTAACTAACTGCTTTTCTCTTGCTGCTTTTAAGATTCTTTCTTTGTCTTTAAACTTTTACATTTTAATTATGCTGTGTCTTGGTGTGGGCTTCTTTGTCATCTTGTTTGGGACTCTCTGTGCTTCCTGGGCTTATATGTCTATTTATTTCACCAGGTTAGGGAAGTTTTCTGTCAATTTTTTTCAAATAGGTTTTCAATTTCTTACTCTCTCTCTTCTCCTTCTAGCACCGCCATGATGTGAATGTCAGTACAACTGAAGTTGTCCCAGAGGCTCCTTACACTATCCTCAATTTTTAAAATCCTTTTTTCTTTTTGCTGTTCTGATTAGGTGTTATTTTGCTTCCTTATATTTCAAATTTCTGTTTTGATTCTCAGCTTCATATACTCTACTGTTGATTCTCTATAAATTATTCTTCATATCAGTTAGTGTATCTTTCATTTCTGACTGGTCCTTTTTTATGCAGTTGAGGTTCTCACTAAGTTCATTATGCATCCTTATAACCAGTATTTTGAACTCTGCATCTAGCAGATTACTTATTTCCATTTTGTTTAGTTCTTTTTCTGGAGTTTTATTCTGTCCTTTCACTTGGGACGTGTTTCTTTGTCTTTTCATTTTGGCAATCTCCCTATTTTTGTTTCTATGTATTAGGTAGAGCTGCTATGGCTCCCAGGCTTGATAGAGTGGCCTTATGTATTAGATGTCTGTTGGATCCAGTGGCACAGCCTCCTCGATCACCCAAGCTGGGCATTTGAGGGACACCCCCAATGTATGGGCTGTGTACACCCTTCTGTTGTATTTGAACCTTGATTGCTATTGGCATGTCATTGAGAGGGATTTATGTCTAGGGCAGCCAGGAGGATCAGCCACCATGGAGGATCAGCCGTGTAAGGGCCCACCCTTCAGAGGAGGACTTACTTCAGCAGGTCTCTGGTGCCTGCTGACTTCTTTAGTGTGTAGCTTGTAGAAGTGGTTAGGGGATACTTCGATGTGGCCTGAAGCTGTCTACTGAGTTCGCTGATTCTGGGGCCTCCTGGGAGTTGCAGACCAAGGTCAACTACCACCTGTGTTCTGCCCAGGACCATCTGACATGAGTCACAAAGTGATCTTCAGATGGCTGCTACTTGGACTAGGTTTGGAGGTGCCCCAGTAAGGCTAAGCTATGAACCAAGGCCAACTGCTGCTAATGCTGGGCCTGGGGCCAATTCGCTAGAGATACAAGGCACACTTTGGCCAGATGCTGCTTGTTTGAGAGATTTGGGGAAAATATAAAGCATGAGCCAAGACAGGCCATTTGTATGGAAAAGCAATTGGAAACAGCTTGGATGAATACACAAGTTGAGTGGGTTGGGGTCTTCAGGGAAACCACTGGGGTACAGTGAACAGTGATAGCCAGGTTGATATGGAGCCGGCCTGCCGGCTCTGTGTGGGGAGGGCTCAGAAAAGGAACAATGGCTTCTTCCAGCACTTCTGTCTTGGAGAGAGCTGCCCCTCCAGCTCTCACCCTGATGCCAGACAATTCAGTTCCTCCCTGGTGTTCCTGGTACCTTTTGAGCTGCTTCCCAATTGCTGGAGCTCAGAGGGACTAAGTCCAAGTAAGACATGCATGGGCCGTTTAAGAGGAATGCCTAGGACTCTATGAGCCCTTGGTCTTACTCAGCCACAATCCTGTTGGCTTTTACAACCAGAAGTCATGGGAACTTCTCTTGCTGGCACTGGAACCCTGGGCTTGGAGGGGCCTACTTTGGGGCTGGGACCCCTCATTCCTCAGGAGGGAACTTTCCCAGCCAAGATATTCCTCCTGATTTTTACCTGCCACATGTGGGTGTGGGAACAGCCCATTTTGCATCTCCAACCCCCTTTTAATCTCAATGTGGCTTCTTCTTTAAATCCCTAGTTGTATTCATTCAGCTAGACTTTAGGCAATTCTGAATGATGACTGTTCTGTAGTTTAGTTGTAATTTTGATGTCACAATGCTTTTTATTTTATTTTATTTTTTAGATAAATGTGTGTTCTTTCAATATCTCCCACTAGCTTTCCGTTCCTGAAATTTGTCATTTGCTAAGTCGAGTCATCTCTGCTCTTTACTATAATCTGTTTTGGTACATTCTGTTACTTGTGACAGGAAAAAAGCAATTGAATAGAATTTAGTTGTTTATCTCTGCAGGGACCTTGGATGCACCAAGGACTGCAGTATGAATTGGCAAGTTGAAAACGACTCACTGAATATCCCAGGAGACTTTCTATGGAGGCTCCTTGCTTCTGCTGACAGCTGATATGATAGAAGGTGAACAGGAGGTGGTGATTTACTGTGAGCTTAGCAGGGAGCTTAATTTTCACTTCTTCATAGAAGTCTGGAGACCTGTTTCAAAAGCACATTATACACACATAACTTTTAGCAAGAATGACGACTTCTCTGACTATAAATTATAATGCAACAGACCCTTTACTTCTCAGAATTTGTCTGCTTGGTGTTTTGCTTTTCATTTTACAGCATTCTGCTCCTTGGCTGGAAGTCCTTGAGACCAAGCTTATGTCACTAGATACACTTCACTTACATAAGGGCACTTAGAAACTGAAGACTTTGGGGGTGGGGGTGGAGGATTTCCACACACAATGGAAAAATCCAACAACTTATTTTGAAAAGGGGATGAGGTTCAATGCCCTGTTGTGACCTCATTTTCTGTCTCTACCTTAAGAACGGAGAGAGGCACATCAAAGGATTTTGGAGAAACAAATGAATGAAGCAGGAGGAAAAGGAACCTGATTTTGCTGAATTACAATGTCCCAGATACTTTACCAAGAGCTTCATGTACCTTACTCACTTACTCCTCATCCCAACCCAGCAATGAGGGTTTAGAGGAAGACTTAAATGGGCCAAGTCCGTTTGACCCTGTACAGATTTCCCTCTCCTACCTGTAAAATGGAATAATTTACACACTATTTTGGAACTCAATTTACCCAGATAATAATGAGTGCTCCATTTCCCCTTTCGTCAACTTAATTTTTCTTAAACTAGGTAGTGGAGTAGCTGTGGAGTGGCGTAGACAAGGAGACAAGAGCTCGATTTTGTTTCTGGCCCCTCCAGTATTTCAAAGCAAGTTAAGAAATGTATTTATTTAACACCATGAAACTTCTCTGTATCATACTAGATAGAAGGCTCCAGAAAATCAAAATGCTATGAAGTTCTTGAGCATATGTTCTTCTCTCAATCTTAGTTAATGGCAAAAATTGTGTATCTGCAACACAGAATCATGTAACTAGCATGATTTCCTCTGTCCCTGAATTATAAGAACCATTGGAAGGAATCGCCTCGGGGATTCAGAAAAACCACCAAATAATGAAACAATCTTGACATATGTTTAGAACTCTGCAATACACTTACTTATTATGGTATGTGACAGCTGTGTACACTTCCTGCAGAAATTCAGGCCCACTGGATTTTCCAAAGATGACCTATTGACCAATATAAAAAGGACCAAATTAACTGTGATATTTGGGTATATGAAACCAACCATCATCAGCCCAATAGGACGTTCTGTTCTCATACAGCTATACTGTGTAAGTTAAGAGTGCTGAGTTCTACGACCAGCCCAACCACACGGATGCAAAATAACTGGCTATGAAGGGTAAAGTGAGGCCCCAAGGCCACAGGTTTGTGAGACTGGGAAACCAGTGCCCTGTCCACTCTGCCTCACTGCCTAGAGGTCTACATTTTTGGGCAAAGTCACATCAGTTAAAGATCCCTGCTCTTTTCCCTCCAAAGACATGGGCCTGGTCACTGGGGTGATCAGGACCTTCCCTGTTCACATGTTTGGGCTATTTAGAAAGAGACACCTTTTGGGCTTCATTCAGCCTTAACGGTACATGATTTGTCAAGTGGATTCACTTCCGGACAAGGAAAAAAGGGCCCTTTTTATTAGATGCAATAATCCCTTGGTGATTAGAGAACAGGCTGGAGTTTGGCCCCCATTCATCCTTGGCTGGGCACTTGGTTCCATTCAGGATTTGCATAGCCATACCCAGCAGCTCTGGTGGACTTGCCATGAGCCAGAGCACAGAGAATCAGGGGAGTCCTCCTCTAGGATTTCTCTCCTACCACCATTGCAAGAGAAGGCCTTGCATTGGGAAGGTAGGTGAGGCATTAGGAGGATGGTTAAAAAATAAAGAAGAAAATATTTGGAGAATGGAAGCCCTGAAAAAAATTATTTCAGTAGAAAGGTTTAGTAATTGAATTCTATGACTTATAGAAAATAGAAAAAGCTAACAGCACTCGCAGCAGATGATTAAAAAAAATACAAATTCTGGCATTTTAGTTTTCTTAGAGAACACTGTATTATATATTTATTACTGGATTTATATTTTGCCTCAGGATTAAGATCCAGACCCAGAAGGTGTTGAGGCGGCATGTGTTTATTATTCGTAGGCATGCTTCACATCTCTCTCGAGGTGGACTGGATGTGCGCAGCTGCATGCTGCAGTGCACATCTGGAAGTGCAGCAAACACGGCAGACACACTGGGCCCGTCTGTCTACTTCTCATGCTGTGAGGGTAGCATGGACTTTATGATATTTTTCAGTCCTCTAATATAATCTGCATGTCCAACTTTCATAGCTCCTTATGGAATAAGTTAGGAAAGAGACTTGCAATGTAGACTGACCTTGTTTCCCCATCAGCGTGCTGGGACCAATAATGGACTAGCCACTAAGGCCTCTGCACATGCTGAGTAGCGCTGTCCTGAATAGACAGAGATACTCGGCATGTTCATGAGCCCTGGGTTCTGTCTGCGTGAATGGACAAGGGAAGTTCAGCACACCCTGGTTTGAGGCAAATGTTTACTTCTGTCTTTACCGGCATAGCGTTGCTCGGATCCTCTCCACACATGAACTGGATCTTGATTGTAATGTTCCGGGCAGATGTTAGCTTGTTAGTGAAGTTCAGCCTCTGTGGGTAGACATAGAGAAGGTTTCTGGAAAAGAGAAGACCGAGAACCAGTGAATAAGATCTAGAGCTTGTTTTAACCAATCAAGAGGAGACGTTTCTGAAGGAGGTTTTCCTTTCTGAAGTGAATTATTTTTGGAGGAGTGAGTGAGATACTGCTGCTTCTTCCTCCTCAGCTACAGTCATCTGATAATAACCAACAGTGTTCTTCTTCTGTTACCTATAAAGATGTGTCTGCTGCAGCTGAGAGAGTCTTAAGGTCCTGGGTGTGCTTCAGGTTTCTTCGGATATATTCCCAGAAGTGGAAACTCTGGGTCATTAATCAGCTCTTTTTTGGGAAAGACCATCTCCCTGTGGCAGGGAGAGCTGGTGTGTGGGTTAATCCGCCCTTGAGCTCTGAGTTCTGTGCCACATCCTGGGAGCTTTGTTCACCTGGATGTGCTCAATGACCAGAGAATTGACATCTAAACCCTGAAGTTCAGCACTACTTTCTGCATTTTTTGAGCACGCGAGGCAAAAATTCAGCACTTTCTGGGTCACTGACCCTGCATCCACCCCCACAGTTTGGACTGGGCACCCCTCCCCAACCCCAGCTCCACCACTGTAACAATGGAATGGTACACATTGCTTCTGTAAAGTGACAGCCTTCACATACTTGGTGGCGTAAACCCTGAAGTTCAGCACTACTTTCTGCATTTTTAAGCACGCGAGGCAAAAATTCAGCACTCTTTCTGGGTCACTGACCCTGCATCCACCCCCACAGTTTGGACTGGGCACCCCTCCCCAACCCCAGCTCCACCATTGTAACAATGGAATGGTACACATTGCTTCTGTAAAGTGACAGCCTTCACATACTTGGTGGCTTTTCAGAGATGCGTACCCTTGATGGCCTGGGAAGTTTCATGAGTGTTCTTAAAGTGAACACGAAGATCTGAATCTCATGATTTGCATAATTTTGTGGGGTTTTCCAGGTCAAGTGAATAGAGAACCATTTTCAGAGATCACCTCAGGCCGCTTATGGGAAGAGCAAATATTCTTAATAAACCTGATTTTAATGGATACATGATATACCTTATTATGAATGTGCCATAACTTATATTAGTCTCCAGGAATAATCATTTAGATGATTTCTTTTTAATATTATAAAGCGATGATAAACCCTTTATATAAGAATAATCATTTAGATGATTTCCTTTTTTTAATATTATAAAGCGATGATAAACCCTTTATATATGTATGTATGTATGTATGTAAACATATATGTATTGCCCTTCTGCAATGTAGTGTACTTTGGGAAGAATCCCTTTTAGTTCTATATAGTTCTTCATCTTTGAATTAATTAGAGAGACACCGATCAACCTTTCTTTATGCTGTGCTTGAAGAAATAATGAGCCCGAGTTTGTAAAATGCTTTGAAGTAGCTAGATGAAAGGGTCTGTGTAAATCACAACAGTAATAGCCCTGCCAGACTGGTTAAGCAAGTTAGCTGTCACTACACTCCTCTCCTACATTCCAATATAGGGCCACCACCCACCTGTCTCACACATCCCCCAACACTGGTCAACAATTTTGCAGGTTGCTTTCAAAGGGGTTGCTGACCCCTACGTGTAAACAACATCACCATGGGCATTCAGTGTCCTGCCTGGTACTGAATACACTTTCCACAGAGTACAGAGCTAAGGGAAACTGAGAGAATTTAGTCCAACATCCCTTTCTGCAAGGCCAGACTCTCAGGGAGGTTAAATAACTTTGCCTAAACATTTTTTTAAGAAGATGCATTTTCCAATGTTCGTCCTATTTCTTAATGGCAAATATACCAAGTGACATGTTCTGTTAAATCTGCATGCTTTTAAAGAAATGAATATTAAAAAATAATGTTTTCTATTGGGAGGGAAGATCTGCCTGCATGGTCAATAACCCACAGGGCCTAAACCAGATAAGAGTAATTATTAACAAACTGATAAACAGGTGCATATAATATATATGTGGTAAATTGTCTCATATTACCTAGAGAAAATCCTGAGAATTATATAATGATTTTTGAGAGGATAGCCCATAACCAAAATAGGAATCACTTCGTATAGCAAAATTATCTTGAAAACTCCTTTAGTACCTACAGGCCCAGTGCATGTGCAAGGCATTTAGTTTAATCTCATCGTTCCCCAAGAAAAATGGTTTTCTTCAGTCATATGCATCACAACAAAGAACAGGACATTTGGTATTCATCAACGATGTTCTTCCAGAGCTCCTTCAGATGGCTTCTCTCGATTACAAACTGTTTTGGAAACTCCGAATTCTTTCCACTGATTCAGCCATAGCCTCTTAACTAATTTATAAACCGCTGTGATTTAGCAGCTCCAGGAAGTTAGAGGATAATGTTGTGGAATTTGCTCATTCTTAGAGCAAACTCTTTCTGCTCTTTACTGTCTTGGGACCGTCTTCTACTTTCTTTGCTGAAAACAGGTTCCCCCAAGGGACCTTGAAATCTTTCAAAGCCACAATGCAAAAAACATCAGTGTGGCTTCTCCTCAGTTTAGCCTATTCTTTATCCAGTGCAAGAAGACAAGGAGAAAGACATGCCCCTGTCCCCTATTTCCAAGATGACATCAATGTCCTCTCTCAGGGGCTTCTACAGCTTGGAGTGGAGCTCAAGATGCAAGTGAGCTACAGCAAAAATCACATTGGCCACCTGTTTAAACAACTGGACAGTCTGAATACCTCTTTAGTTGAGCTTCTAACTCAAGTCAGCCAGCAGGAGGGAAAGAAAGAGGACCTGGAGAGGAGAGCTGAGCAGCTCGGCAAGAGGAATGAAGACCTCCATCAGCTGGTTGCTGAGCTCCAGCATCAGATGGTTGCCGGGATAAAGGACAGAGAGAATTTCAATGAGAGGCTAAACTTGCTGGAGCAGAAGATGGAGGATGCTGTGTTCTTCAAGGCAGGTGGGCTTTCTCTGACAGAAGTGATGGACGACATTATGGTGAGTAGATCATTATTGGTCATTTTAGTTGACCATTATTTTATTGGAAATAAAATATGATTTTAACACTATTATTATTATTTTAAGTAGAAATATTACTCTATTGGAAAATAGACCCCCCAAAGTAAGATTCATAAAGTTGGAATAATTTTGCTGTGAGAAAGCCTGGGTAAGAAGAATGATGGTGCAGATTAACCCTATTGATGCAAATGCTAACGTATCTGCCATTGCTGGTAATGGCAACCTAAACCATGTTTAGAATTAAAAAAAAATATATTGTGTCACTTGTTCCCAAGGAGTGGGTGGAGGAAAACTCAATCATGTAATAAAGCAAAAAGCTAGCTTCCTATTCTCTGAGAACATTTTATGTACATGGCTTTGGGATTCCCAGAGAGCCAAAGGAGTAACAGTAGTTGTTTAAAGTCACACAATCCTTGGTGCTTCTTATATATCTTTTTGAAAGTGAGACTGAAGTGAATCAAATGGCTTGTACTCAGAATGTTGAGTGAAAATTCAGGATATAAAATGTTATCTATGATAGGGCTGCAAATATTCAAAAATTAAATATGCATGAAAGGGTTACAGCTAGAAGATGATATGGAGAAATGAAAAAAGTAAACATGATTTTTGAATGAACTTGGTGTCAATTTTGGTTTTCTTTCTTTTATTTCACTACAAAAGCTGTAATAGGGTACTAATACCAAATATGTACTTTTTAAAAGACGAAACAAAAAATTGCTGATTCTGCGGCTTAGGGTATCTCTACAGTCCTTTGAATGTCAGTAATGCCCATAATTTAAGCTACTGTTATCCCAGGGAAGATGGGCTTATATGGAGACCTGTGATTAGTGGCCCTTACCAAATAAGTTAATAAGTGGAACAGTCCTTTAAAAAAATCACAAAATTCTCTACAAATGTGGTGGACAAATCAATTTCCTCACCTGTAATAAAAAGATTGGAGTTAAGTTTCAATTCAATGATACCTGATAAGTGCTTTGCTGTAAACTGCAAAAATATGACACCCATGAAGATTATCTACTTATCAGGATTGTGTGAAACAGCTGAGTGAACTTCAAAATACAACTCTAAACCGTCTACAGGACTGAGATCTTAATATATGTCACTTAGGGAACCCATCAGTCTCTCTGGGTTTCTCTCTCCATCTTTCAGGCTCTTTCTGTCTCTGTCTCTCTATGTCTGCCTGCCTTTAATCTGTGCGTGTGTGTGTCTCTCTCTTTCTGTCTCCCTCCAGTCTCTCTTTTTCTCTGATACACCCTCTCCCCCTCCTCACAGCCCCTCAGAAAAATGACAAAATGCTCTTTTTCACCAGTCTTTTTTGACTAGTTCCATCTAATCACTAAAATCCGTTTCCTTACAAGCGTGTGAGTGTTTGATGATTTCCTGCTGTGAACTGGGACTGGGTTGTGAGCAGGGCCTTAGTTCTCTCAGGATGATAAGCACAGAGCCTAATATCTATGAACATTTTAGGGTTCCACAAAAATGTCTGTGCATTGAAAAGTAATCAGCTCCAAAATACAAAAAGTAAAAGCTCAAAACCAAAACTAATGCATTTTACACTAAATGCTTACCAACTGCAACATTTTCTCAATTAGTCAACAACAACTCTACTGAATTTAACCTACAGGTGAAAATTACTTCCTCCTACTTTGCAGACTGCTATAAAGTTATATTAAAGTATACTGTATATAACAAATGAGAAGGTGGGTGCATCCTAATGTTTTAAATGATGTGGTCAGGTGCTTTTGGGGGGGGGTCTTAAAAAGGTTCTTGGATATAGATATCAGGAAGGGAAAGGATAAAATACCAAGAAATCGGTTTTTCTATTTTATTAGTTTTCTTCTAGCTTGATTGTTTTATAGCGACCACTAGCAATATGCACTGGGGTGAAGTAGACTAGCTAGGCAATTAGCACCTCGCTCTCTGCTGGAACTGCTGAAACAGCTTTATATAGAAAAAGCTCGCCAACCTCTTCTGGCAATTTCAAAGTAATTTCTTTTCCTTTCCTTATGCTTTAAAACTCTCCCTCTCTAGCCCTTTTTGCAAAGACAGAGCCAAAGAATTGATGAACTATTTGCGGAAGTGGAAATGCAGCAAAACCAATTGCACAAACGAGATACCCTCATTAAAAGGCTACGGGAAAAGGTTGGTACCTCTTTTTTCTTTTAAAATATATTTTATTGATTTTTTACAGAGAGGAAGGGAGAGGGATAGAGAGTTAGAAACATCGATGAGAGAGAAACATCGATCAGCTGCCTCTTGCACACTCCCTACTGGGTATGTGCCCGCAACCAAGGTACATGCCCTTGACCGGAATCGAACCTTCAGTATGCAGGACGACGCTCTATCCACTGAGCAAAACCGGTTAGGGCAGGTTGGTGCCTCTTACTCCCTTTAATAATTTGAGCAGGCTTTGAGTACAACAGGACAAAATTCAAATGCCTATTAATATCAACAATATCTTACAGTTATCTGGTGTCTTTTATTCAAGCATTCCAAAGAAAATTGCAGATCTCGATATATTATTTTATGGTACTTATGCAAGGTGAGCAACTGAGGAGGTGTTTTTTACTTATCATTCACACTCACTGCCAGGAAAATTTATTTTATTTCTTAAGGAAAATTTATTTTAAATGTAATAAAAATGGCTAAGGTTTCTTAATTCTTACTATGTGAAGACACTATTCTAATAGTAGCTAATAGTACCTTTGACAGGTACTACAATGAGCCTCATTAGGTAGATGATAAAACTGAAGCACAGAGAGGATGCATACATAACTCGCAGGAGGTAACACAGCTAGCACGGTGCAATTCAGATCTGGGTGCTCTGAAGCTAATACTAGATCTGTTGCCCATAATCATTGCTATTTCTAAGAACAACCGTAAACAGTATCTTTGGTCAACAATCAGACTCACAAGAACATTATAATGTGGTCTTTTATTGTATTATTTACAAGGGCTAAAGAATGTTTCCTCAAACAAACATTTTTTAAAAAAAGGTTTAAATAACATAGTTAACTTAGAAGATGAGAATAACTACTGTCCCTCGGTGGTAGAGGTTTTGATATTTTCAATACATCAAGAGCAAGTGAAGTTAGAAATATTAGAGCTCAGTATTTGGTACATTCTGGAATTACCTGGGAAACCTGCAAGCCAAACATGGCTATATGTATTAGGTGGGAGCAGGCGTTGTAAATGCACACTTACGCAGAGCTGAGACTTTGGTACTCTAAGAACGGCCCAGGGAGGAGCAGCGTCAGCATCAGAACCACCGGGGCCAGTTAGGACTCACCAGTGACTTGCTGAACCAGAACCTGCGTTTTAACAACACCCCAGGTGATTTCAAAGGCACAGTCAAGTTTGAGACCTGGTCTCTTCGATGCACACATGAATCTTGTCATTTATTGTGTTTCCTTTTGTTTGCTTGGCTGCTAGGAAGCTCAAAGGCAAATCTGCAACCGACTTCTTAAAAAATATATTTTTTATTGATTTCAGAGAGGAAGGGAAAGGGAGAGAGAAAGAGAAACATCAATGATGAGAGAGAATCATTGATTGGCTGCCTCTTGCATGCTCCCTACTGAGGATCGAGCCTGCAACCTGGACATGTGCTCTTGACCGGAATTGAACCTGGGACCCTTCAGTCTGCAGGCCGATGTTGTATCCACTGAGCCAAACCGGCTAGGGCACAACCACTTTTTAAGGAACTGTCAAGAACCTTAAGATATATTCTGCGTATTAACCTTATCCAGGTTTAGATTGATTTCCCTCTCCTTATTTTCTTTTCACCCAGAAATCTTATGCCTTGTTTTACAACCTCCATAAGCTGCCTCAGATACTTTTTAGAATGGGAAAGTTTATAAATAAATGCACAAACATAAAACATTTGCCATATCCTGTCTTGTTATTCCATGGTCTAATGCCATGTCTTGTGTTTATTCCTATTTCTAATACTTTAGGTTAAATCAAAGCACAAACTCACAAAGGAAACAGTAAAAAATGGAAAGAAAACCCCTGATGTGTAGGGTGAAGAGAATGTTTCGTCTTCAGGAATCAGCAAGGAAAACGGAGCATGAATCCTGTTCTAGGGCACAAGTCAGAGTCCACACAAGGCGGCCTGCCCTGGGAAATGGCACAAGATTAGAAGGAGGTGCTGGGGGTGTTGTCCCGAGCAGCAGCTTGCCCCTTAGTAACCTCTGCTCTGTGGGCCAGGCTGCAATGTTTTGTGTAAATGCTGGCACTGTATTCTGAACATCGGGGACCTCTAACCCCGCCCCCGCAACAAGCAAATGCAGTTAAGTAGCTAGAGACAAAATGTTACCCAAATTGTTTAGAAACACTACAATAAATGACCCAATATTCTCTCTCTCTAGTCATGTTATGTTTTTAAAAATGCACTCTAAAACAGAAATCAAATGAGAGCAAGAGAAACAAATAGAAAGCCAGCAAACTCTTATACTTGTTATTACACCACTTTTTAAAGATTTTGAAGGGAAAAATAACCCATTCTTTCCCAATTGATGAACTACAATTTGAACATCCGATATGGTTTCTTGAACAACTATGGATATTGAACAACTATTATTACTAATAATAATTTGTCTTTGAACATGGACTACATGCTCACATATCCTATATTTTCAGAGTACCTCTTCTATTGCCCTCAATTCCCACCCCTTCTTCTTCTGAGAAAGGTAACAATTCCTCTTAAGAAAGGGCTTGGAAAATCAGCATTCCTCCTGTTAAATAAAGCAGGACCTCAAGCTGGGGCAAAGAGAATGTTCCCTTTTAGAAAGAGGTAAAAGTACCTGAACTCTCCTTAAAATCCACTCACTTGTTTAAGAAAAGTCCAACTACTTTTCAATAGCAAAAGACCCAACAGGAAAGTTGGGATGTTTTTAGGTCTTATCTGGATCAGATTCACAGTGAAAAGAATCACAAATACATAAACATTTGAAACCTGCTGTGGAAAACTGACTACTTTAAGAAAAAGTAAATCTCTAGGCCCTGCCGGGGTAGCTCAGTTGGTTAGTGCATCATCCAGATACACCAAGGTTGCAGGTTCAACCCCCAGTCAGCGCACATGCAAGAAACCAGTAAATGTATAAATAAGTGGAACAACAAGTTGATGTCGATCTGTCTGCCTCTCTCTCTAAAATCAATGAAATGACATTCTTTAAAAATCTAACTTTGCTTGAAATTTTTTAAAAACAATACTTTGTTGACCACTATGCTATACACCTGAAACTAATACAAAATAATATTGAATGTAAAAAAAAAATATTGAATGTAAACTGTAATTAAAAAAAGAAATTAAACCATACTTTGTGGAACTGACATTTTATGAATTTAGATATCCATATTACTAAATATTCTTTTGAAACACTGTTTACCAGATTTAATGTATTAAGTGGTTTACATATCATTCACTCCCATCTTTGTATGAATTAGTTTACTCGTTCCTGTTCTTCTTACAAAGAGGATGGGTTATGGACTGCAGGTATGAGTGAAGAAAGGGTGATTATTAATCACGAGGCACTGATCCGGGGAAGATCTGGATGCTTAAGGTGACAAGGAGAGTGACAAAGCAAGGGCAGATGGGAAGGTACCAAAATCCAAAGTTTTTATTCCACAATTTTTTTTTCTAAAGCTTTTAAAAACTTGACATTGACAAAATAGTCAAAAGGCTCACTGGATAATTGCCTTTCTTCCAACTCTCAGCTATCCCCATGGAACCCATGGTATGGGTTATCTGGATATTCCTTGTGATTCCCACATGGGGAAGGCTCAGAATTTGTTAAACACGTCGAGCTTGGTTTATTAGAACCCTATTTTCAGTGTCCTTTTTTTTAAAATAAAAAATTATTTTATTTTTTTAAAATATGTTTTTCTTGATTTTTAGAGAAAGAGGAAAGGAGAGAGATAGAGAGATAGAAACATTGACGATAGAGAAACATCATCAATTGGCTGCTCCTACAGGCCCTCTTATCAGGATCGAGCCTGCAACCGAGGCATGTGCCCTGACTGGGAGTCGAACCAGTGATCTCTTGGTTCCTGGGCTGAAGTTCAACCACTGAACCAAGCTAGCTGGGCTAAAACAACAAATTTTTAATGAAAACCTACTCCAAGTAAAAAACAACACATACGTTTCAATATTTGGTTTTATAAAAAAGCAAAAATTCAAGTTTAAAGATATCATTTCAATGCCAAATCTACATGCATATTTTAAAAGACCACCAGTCAGAATTGTCACGTGAATGACTAACATGAACCAACCTGCATGTTCTTTTAAGGGACGGAGGGAGCACATTTTTTCCAGGCTTTGCAAATAGTTTCCTAAAACAAATCTGCCAGCTAATGAAAGCACATACACATACCAGAAAATTTCCCATTTCTGCTGTTGCTGAAGCTGACCTTTGTTTTTCTTTTGGTTTGGGGCAGAGCCTTTATTGGTCCTCTATCCATTAAAAACAAACAAACAACGAATAAATCAGTATTATTCATTAAAATGCTTGCCTGATCATTCCTGATGTTTTTAATATTGTTAGTTGCCTCAGTTTGGGTTGGAGGAGAAAGTATTGGAATTGGAGGAAACAGCTGCATTATTTGAATAAATAAGAATAAATTGTCCAGATGCCCCCACTACCTCCATCTAGAAACAGATACTTGCTTTGGATACTTGGTGGGAGAGAAGGCTTGTTTGGGTTTTGGAGGTGGTTTCAAACTATTGTAGGGAGGGGGTTTGGGGATAATTGTTATCATTTTGCTTTTTTACAAAGTAAGGACAGACCACTAACTTGCTGTTTGTTCTCTCCAAAAGAGGAAGCAGCCATTGATCAATCTCTTCATTCGGGTTGGGTGACCATTAGAGTGAAAGAAAACCTGCCCGAGGAAAATGAATCATCCCCCCTCTCTTCTCCTCTCCCCAGTAAGAATATCTCATTCATGGTATGAAAGAATTACGGTAGCCTCTAAATGTCCTGGATGGTGTGTTCATTGGTAGCATTTGGCTCGACATCTGTGACATAAAAAGTTTTTCAACTAGGAAACATAAAGGCCAATGATGCAAGAACTGGACAGAACCCTGAGCCTGAGATGAGTCTAGCCTGAGGAACACAGGGAGCTTTCTGCAAAGATGCACTGAGGGATGCCAAGTTCTCACCTTGACAATCATGGGAGCGAAGGGAAGGACAAGCAAGCTCAGAAGATCTGTATCAGGGGGGGGAAGGGATAGAATACAATTAACTGGAGAAGAATTCCCCTGTTCCTGCTCTGGGCGGCAAATTCACCCAATCCTCAGCTGGAAAATGAGTCAGCATTCTAAGGTGTCTAAGTGTGACTCCTTTCTTACTTTCTCAAAAGTGAGACATAGTCTACGGTGTATTTGTGTATGTCATCTTTGAGGACATCAACTGGTGCCTTGGCATAACAGAAATGGAAATCTATTAATAAGATAAAGAAACTGGTCTGCTTCCTATCTGTGAACCCATGGAGGAAATTTTGACAGGAGAGAAAACACCGCCCATGTCACTCACCCCCACAAGCTAGTGGATCGATACAAAAGCAACCACAGGCTTGGTTTTACTAGCAAAAACTGTAAGTCTAGGAAATGCTGAGAAATGACATTCTTGTTGCTAAATGCATAATTTTTAGCTTAGGCATGGAGATCGGATAAAAAACATCATCAAAATTAGCCACTAAGTTGAGTTTCTCTACTTTTATCTTTATTAAACCATAATATTTATATTCCCACCCTGTTGCATGGATCTCAGCTTACATTTTGAAGGTTGTCAAACAAAGAAGATAAAACAAATGAGTTGGAACCGCACAGTTTTGGAAGTTTTATTACCTTTCTGGGGTTTAGGCCAGTGGATAAATGAAATTCATTTTTAATGATAAAAAAATTCATGACATACAACTGGTTAGCCATGGTTTCTAAAAAATGATCTTGTTACATTGTCAAAACTCAGTCCTTCCCTACTCATGGTTCTATTTTGCTTTGTGCTGCGGGGCTAGCCAGCATTGCCTCCACCCAAACCCACTCTTTCCCTGGGAAGCTAGTGGCAGTGACACAGCATGTAATATTTCACCCAGAGCATTCTGACTTCTGCTGAAAGGGGTCAAGGGCAGCTTGTCTGAGGCCTTGAAACCACAGGACATCCATTAACAGAGAGCTGTTAAAATGCCTCTGCTTTAGAGATGGCCAAACACTTCTTGGGAGGAGTGGGTGGATGCTGATCTTTGGGCCACCAATAGAGTACACAGGAAAGACAAAACTAAGGATGAAAAAGCTAAAAAGTAGAAAAGATTTTTACCCTCCCCACCCCCAATAACAAAAGAAATAAGAGAGGACAATTCCCTGAAGGCTATCTCTCCAGAAGACAAGCCACTTCAAAGAACTAATTTTAAAATAATAATTAAAAAACTAACAAAACCATAGAAATCAAAGAAAGAAGGCTTTTTTTGGACTTTAGGAGGCTCTTTCTAATCTAGGCAAACTATGCCTCATCGCAATCAAATGCAAACCCAGATTTGCCTTACGTTCATCACCATTTCTATTGCTTCTGCCCCCAACCTCATACTCCAAACACATGAAAAAAAATAAGATGTTTCGTGAACCTTCATGCTGAATTCTCTGTAAGGGCTCTGTGAAGAACGTATTTGCCATCATTAAATAGACAGAGCAGGATTTTTTGTTAGGACAGTTGTTAATAGGCAGTAACACAAAAGCATGGTCGACTCAAAATGAATGAGTATAATGTGGAGTTGTGACTTGTGGAGTCAGTGACATTAATGTACATGGAACCTCCTTAACATGATTTCATTACTGCCTCACCCACATTCTTTTAGTTCTGTATGTGAGTCAGGATTGGTCAATGTGTAAATATGTATCGTGAACAACACCTCTCACAGATGAGATTTCACTCTCTCTCTCTAACCACAGGATATAGATCTCAATGTGTATCCCTACTACATCTTCCAAAAAGTTCCAGATTTCTAAGGTCATGACTTACTAATGAATGAAGGCAGAAGCTGACAGGTCAAAATAAAATGCTTTGCAAAAAATGACAACAGCAATCTCTTGGAACACTGGAACACTTTCCCGTGATTTTGTTTGTTTGTTTGTTTTGTTTTGTTTTTGCTCCTACACTTCAAAGGCAAAAAGTAAAATGTGTGTTTTCCTTTAATAAAATCATAATAATTCCCTTTGTAACAGGAAAGATAGCAAATTGCAGCTGAATCTAGAAAGTGAGCGAATTGTGCCCTCAAGTGGCTGAAAAGATAGCTCTGCAAAACCTGCAATTGTTGCTAAGTAATTTTAGGTAACTGGCTTCTCCCGAATTTTTTCATTTTTTCAGGAAAAAAAGGAGGTTGGCCAAGTTTTGGAGCAGGACATTAGGTACATGGGGATTGCGCTCCTGATTTATTGAGACAAACTTGCCACAGCAAAGTTAAGTACAGGGACTTAATTATCTGGATAATTCAGGCAACAGGAATCACTTTGCCTTTGTCTCCATTACTTGGCTAATTCAAATGGTTGTATTTTGCCTGGGCTGCACTGCTGTTCTTAAATTAAGTGTTTGTTCACAATAAGCTTTGTGTCCCACAGCATTTGCTTGCTATGTTTAGTAAAACCAACGAGTGGGCGTCAGAGCAGTGTTTCCAGCAGCTGATGTCACTGTGGACCTTTGCGTGACTCCATAGACCAGGGGTCCTCAAACTACGGCCCGCGGGCCACATGCAAATACAAATATTGTATTTGTTCCCGTTTTGTTTTTTTACTTCAAAATAAGATATGTGCAGTGTGCATAGGAATTTGTTCATAGTTTCTTTTTAAACTATAGTCCGGCCCTCCAACGGTCTGTGGGACAGTGAACTGGCCCCCTGTTTAAAAAGTTTGAGGACCCCTGCCATAGACTGAAGAACTCATTGAGAGGAACTCCATAAAAGGGAGGGGG